GCAGACAAGACAGGAAGGCTGCAAGCCGGTGTCACTCGGTGCCGCAGGCGTCTGTGGGCGGAAGTGCGGGAAGGCACGCTCTGGGGGCATAGCCGTACTGGACCGGCGTCCTTCAGACCTACCGTTGGCTTAAATGCGATCACCAGGCAGCCAGGGCGGCGCAAAGTTCCGAATGCGGGAGCGGGCGCACGCTGGACATCCCGGCCGACGGTGCGTGTGGGCTGCGTGCGCTTCGTGTGCGTTGCGCTGCTCAGGTGCCATCAGCCGTGACGTTCAGTGCTGCTGCACTCTCGCACGCTCGCGCATTGCGAGGGGCGAGGCAGCGGCAGCAGCCCTCCGGCCCGCACTTGCCGTGGGGGCCCCAACCGCTGCCAACCGACTGCTTGCGCTGCTTGCCTGGATGCCCTGTTGATGCATCCCCTTGGCTGACCCTCTGCCCCATCCCGCCCGCGCCACCACCCGCCCCGCCCCTCCCGCCCCGCAGACATCAAGGTCCTGTCTTGGTCCAAGGCCAGCAAGGGCAGCATGCTCAGCGTGAAGCGCGGCGAGGGCCCCCCCATCTCTTTCATGGGCTTCAGGGACAAGGATGTGGAAGCGCTGCGCACCATCACCAACAGGCAGATAAAGGACGAGCCTCTGGCCGCCAGGTGGGCGCGCGGCGCAGGCGGGTGGGGGGTGATGGGCGCAGGCCGGGGCTCCAGCCTTTGCAGGCTATTCAGCGGCGGCCCGAGGCACATGCGCGGCCGCAGGGAGCCTGCCCGCCAGCGTTGGGTGCTGCCGCGCCCCGGTTGGTGCTGCAAGACCTCCTCTCTCTCCCCCCCTGCAGCGGCCACAACTGGGGGCGCCTGGCCGTGGACGGCGGCTCCATGGTGTTCCGCGTGGGCGGCCGCCCCGCCTTCTCGGTGCCGCTGCCCGAGGTCAGCCAGGCGCAGCAGGTGCGGGATGAGGTGATGCTGGAGTTCCCCATGGACGACACGGTGGCGGGTGAGGCGAGGTGGGGGTGGCGCCCCCGACTGGCTGCAGTTGGTCCCGCGCCTGCAGGCTCGGGGCGCCAGCACCATGAGGGCCACGCGCGCCTGCCTGCTGCTACTGGCGGCGCTGGCGCTAGCCACCGAGGCGGGCGTGCGAGCACAGGACTCGTGAGCCCGCGCTGCTGCCATGCTTTGCTATGTGATGCATTTTGCTGCAGCAGCTGC